AGTTCACCCAAAAATGAAAATTACCCCATGATTTACTCACCCTCAAGCCATCCGGGGTGTGTATGACTTTCTTCTTTCAGACGAATCCATTTGTAGTTATATTAAAAACGTTCTGGCTCTTCCAAGCTTTATAATGGCAGTGGATGGGTGTTATTTTTCAGTAGTCCAATAAAGAGCATCCATCCATAATAAAAAGAGCAGAGGGGAGCAAAACAAAAAGCCGGTCATGAATTAGAAGCTCTAAACGAGGATTTGTAAAGAAAAATGTGGGAGGATTTCCGTGTAAGCCAAGAGAAGACTGGTTTTCCTTTGCTTTCTTTGCTCCTGTAAACAAACGCTGGTTCTCGCGAGACTAGCATATTCTCACCGGAGCTTCCTCCGTCATCCGCCGGAACGGTGTTCTGTTGTGAACGTACCACAGTTAGCGGAAGCTACAGATTACTGTTTACAAAGTTTTCAATATGGATATTTTTCTTACAAAAGCGCATGGATTCGCTGCAGGAGGCCTTTATTCACCCCCTGGAGCCGTGTGAGGCACTGTTTATTATGGATGGATGCGCTTTATTGGACTTCTTTTGGACTACTGAAAAATAACACCCATCCACTGCCATTATAAAGCTTGGAAGAGCCAGGACGTAACTCCGATTGGATTCGTCTGAAAGAAGAATGTCATACACACCCCGGATGGCTTGAGGGTGAGTAAATCATGGAGTAATATTCATTTTTGGGTGAACTATCCCTTTAAATAGATCTGAGCGGCGATCGAGCAGCAGGACAGACACGCATGTGTCTGATGATGATCACAGACGGAACAAACTGCTGCGTCCGCTGTGTTTTTATGTGAGTTTGTGCGAGTCTCGTCCTGACCGCTCGCGTCTGTTTGGACGGACGACAGCAGCTGGTCTCTCTTCACCGGTTAAAGTTAGCCGCGGCATCTGATCTGCACAGCCGGTTAAACTCAAACCCGTCTCAGATCTTCTCACTCTGTGTTTCTGTGTGTCTTGCAGGTAATACGATGGTCTCTGCGGCCCGGCCTGAGCTCCAGGTGCTTCGATCTCGCTCCCTCAGCTGCCGGAAACGCCCTGCTTCTCTAGATTCTCGCCCGGCTCCCGCCACATAAACAGACAAGATTGCAAAGATCTGCCCCGCATCGAGCATGACGGCCACCACCCGCGGCTCGCCCGTGGGGGGCAACGATAGCCAAGCGCCAGATGCCCAGAACCAGACCCAGACCCTGCTGCCCCAGAACCAGGTGAGAGAGAAGGGCTGTGGTGCACGTGACGTCACACTCTGTAACAAGCATAAAATGCAAAGTTTTGTATACAAATGCAATAATAGTAACAGTTGCAATAGAATTTGGTAGAGATGGGCGATATGGGCTTTAAAATATATCACGATAATTTCTGCCATTTATTGTGATAACGATATCAATGACAATAATCTTATGCATCCACTTATATCTTATGCATTCTTTAGAGAAAGTATTATCTTTCCTATTTTTACCCATTATGGGTGTTGTGAGCATTACTGAGTACACGCGTCATGTAATGAGTGTTTAACTCACACCGGAAGCCGGAGGGCGCCCTCGCGCAGAAACTCCACACATGCATCACAGAGAGTAATACTACTGATGACTTTCCAGGAAATCCCTAATATGGACAAAGGTATCCAGTTATCGCTGAATAAAACTCAGATAGAGAGATTTTAACTGAGGAAATTTGAAGACAATAAACATACGATTGCAACAATACATGATTTATCTGTTGTTCTAGCAATCTTAGGTATTTTTATAAGGATAAAGTATATTTCTAATGCAATGCTAATCGACATAGCTTTTAGCACTTTATATAATACTACAAAATAGTATAATTTCTTCCTCATTCTGTGACATGAAACCACGTCTGGTCACAAAAAGTTATTTCAAACACTTGACTTATGTTATTAAGTTAATTTGGAGAAAGCAAATGATATCTTTGTTGGACAACAGGTTTGTAAACAGGCTCGTACACATGCAAAACTGTGCTACTGTAGTACGTGTGCATTGAATTTATTTAATACACGAGTTTCACAATTTGAGTTGAATTACTGAAATAAATGAACTTTTCCACGACATTCTACTTTATTGAGATGCACCTGTATATATATATAGAACAATATGTCATGGTTTTCAAAAGTCTCTGTCTTGGTCTGTTTTCAAACTAAAACAGGGTCTTCAGCGTTTTCAAAAGTCTCTGTTTTTGAGGGTCGAAAACGCTATAGCAAAAGGTATGCATTTTAAAACAAAAATGCACTAGTGTAAACGTAGCCTTAGTCAAGCTCTATTTGTTTTATTATTGTATACTAGACCCGCTGATCAGTGTTCCTCCGTATTAACCAGAGCATCAGTAAACTGCATAAAGAACTTCTTGTCGTTCCGCTTCCGCCTGACGTTGTGCTCTTGTGTTTAGACGCCCTCACCAAACTCCTCCAATGAGACGTCTCCCATCAGTCCACCAGAGGAAGCAGGGCAGGGAGAAGCCCCACCCACACAGGAAGAGGAGGAGCCTGCCTTCCCCCACACAGACCTGGCCAAGCTGGACGACATGATCAACCGGTCAGCAGCGGCGCCGCCCTCAGACTGTGCTTCTCTCTGTGTGAAGTTAATGTGGTTTAATGTGCTTTCCTGTGGTTCAGGCCGCGCTGGGTGGTTCCGGTCCTGCCCAAAGGAGAGCTGGAGGTTCTGCTGGAAGCTGCTGTAGATCTCAGTAAAAAAGGTCAGAGGTCATGTGGATGGGATAGGGCTGCACGATAAATCGAAACGAAATCACAATCACGATTAGGCAGAAGCTGCGATGCGTGTTGAAGCGCGGTTCTGTGATCAGCAGTAAATCTTCATCTGAAGGCCAGAGGAACTCCAAATACACCTCGCAGAAGAAACCCAGGCAAAATATATAGTTTATCTGAGTTCTTATTATAACTAAATAAAAAAGTTTGTCAAGACAAAACATGAAATATGTTGCGTGTCTTATTCTGTGTAAGAAGCCACATCATCTCACAGAAGGATTAATTTCAAACACTCGACTGACTTTATGAAGTGAGTTTGGAGTAAAAACACATTATTAAATGTGCACAGTAAAAAATTATTGTGATTTTAACAGTAAAAGACTGTAAAAATGCTACAAAAAAAACCTGTTAATTGATTATCGGTAAGTTTCCATACTATATACGGTGAATAACTGTAATTACATTTAATGTAATTTTACAGTAAAATATGGTTTTTGGCAGTGAAAAAGAAAAAGTCATTGTATAATTTACAGTGAAAAACTGTAAATTGACACTCCCAGAATTCCCTGCATGACACTTCATATTTAGTTTTTTCGTTGAAATAACTGTTTCTTCTTTGTTTTTCCTTATCAGTTGTGTACATTAGTGTTTTATCTTACATCTAATGTTGTTAAATGAATGTTTATTGCATTATTTCAGTATCATGTGCGTTACCATGATGGGGTTTAGTGTTTGTGTGAATGACACTGTGCACCTTCTATATATATATATATATATATATTAGTATTTCCCTTCTCAGCTTTTGGAAGAGCTGATTGTGATGAGCTTCATCATGTGACTCCCTCATCACCACCTGTTTTTGGTGGTTATCAGCATTTCAATGGTTTAAACCGATATTAGTACTTCAATATGCTGGTTTATTAACATTACATCAGTTAATGAAATACGTTTTTTTTATTGTGAATTTAAGTTAAGTCTGTAAAACCTAAAATGTTTCTACCATATTTTTAACGGTGAAGTTCTGGCAACCACAGCTGCCGGTATTTTACCGTAAATGTCACAGATTTTTTTTTTACAGTGTGGTATTTTCAGATGGAGCAGCATTTACTACACAGAGCCGTAGTTCACTGAGAAGCTGCGCAAACTTATCATTATCGCGCGATTAGGTCGTCTTGATTATGAATGCGGTTTTGCGTAGCTTGTCCGAGAACTCCGGCTCTGTGTAGTAAATGCTGCTCCATCTGAGAGCAGGTGATGGAGATTTACTACTAATCACAGAACCGCTTTACTGACGAGATGCGCGTGACTATCGCAGTCGATTAATCGTTGGGTTTTCTGCTGTTTGTGGTGTTCAGGGCTCGACGTGAGGTGCGAGGCGTGTCAGAGGTTTTTCCATGACGGCCTGACGATCTCATTCACCAAAATCCTGATGGATGAGGCCGTGAGCGGCTGGAAGTTTGAGATCCACGTGAGTCTGGGTCTGTCTGATCGTACGGTGCAGACGTCTCCCTGATGCTGATCTGTTGCTCTCGTCCCATTGCAGAGGTGCATCATCAGTAACACCCAGCGTCTGGTGGAGCTCTGCGTGGTCAAGCTGGCTCAGGATTGGTTCCCTCTGCTGGAACTGCTGGCCATGGCCACCAACCCGCACTGCAAGTTCCACATTTACAACGGCACGCGTCCGTCCGAGAGCGTTCCTGCGGGAGTGCAGCTCGCCGACGATGAGCTGTTCGCCCGGCCGCCCGACCCACGCTCTCCTAAGGTACAGCACTGCTTCTGCGCCCGCATTCACAAAACATTTGATCTTACCACTAATAGTTCTCCTAAATACCAGTGAACGTTTTTAGCTAATAGCTTAAAACCTATTCACAAAGCTGCTGAGACTAATGTTTACTAAGCAGTAGAGAGAAGTCTTAAGCTCAGAGTAAGGGGGCGGGGCTGACCTCGTTGCTATGGATGATGTCATCAAGCTTATTAACTATGCACACAGTGATTGGCTGATAGTCTCTGTCAGAGATTTATTCATAGAAATATTGTAGAGCATGATATGTTTCCATATTCAAATAAAAGGTTAAAAAATAAATTGTTAATTGCCACAGATTTTAAAATGCAGGCTAAGTGTCACTAATTAAACAAGTATATCTTCAGCTAATTGTCAGCCTCTTACATTCAATTCAATTCAAGTTTATTTGTATAGCACTTTTTACCATACAAATCGTTGCAAAGCAACTTTACAGAAAATTAAGAATATATTATCTTTATATCTAATATACAAGAATATTATATCTTTACAGATATATTACATGTGTGCTTCTCATAATTAGTGAATATGTATATAAACAGCCTTTTAATTAACAGAGTAGAATAATCATGGCTGAACGTAAAAGAAAACCAAACTGGACGCAAACACCGCTGTTACTTCTTGCCCAGCTGGTTAATGAAAACGAGTTGGGATAACCTTCAAAACCAAAGGCGATACCTTTTTAAAATATCATTATCGTCAAATATTTCTAAAATGTTTACGTTCAGAGGCAGATTTCCAGCAACAGCTATTTTAGGATAGTTTGTGGCTTGGTCTTAGAAGTCTTCTTCACTGCTCCTAACCTTTCACAGATTTAGGAGCTAGTTTTAGAGCTAAAACGCTCCTAAATCGGCGAGTTATGAGCTACTGAAGATGTTTTGTGATTACGGGCCCTGATCTCCCAAACACAGCTGGGTGTGACGCTTTTAGTGCAGTTATCAAACACAGAGCAGTTATTGAGTACCAGTCTCTCTCTTACTGATCAGTCACTGGTTAAAACATTTATATTCAACAATCACAGGCAGTCCTGTTCAGACAGAATGATGCACAGCTCAGCTGAAGAGCAGGTCATTAGCATTGAAGCGGTGTAAGGAAACACGGATGTATTTGGTTAAAAACAATCAAACACATGTCTGTGAAACACATATGAACCTCCACTTAAGAGTGTAGTTACTGGTGTAATTACATGTGACGGTGTCTAATTAAAGAAGGTAATATTTAAAGGGGCCATGAATTTAGAAAACAAAATTCCCTTGATCTTTTGGTATATAAGAGGTCATTGTGCTATAAAAACATCCCGTATGTTTCAGAACTCAAAACTTTGTTGTTAGTCTAAAAACAGCTTATATTGAAGGCAGTCTGCCAAAACCACGGCTTGTGGAATGTGACACTCTATGATGTAATAGTGTGGATAAACCCCGCCTCCACAGAAGATGATCAACACCTGCCTGTTTAGCCCCGCCCACGATTCCACATCACTGCTTGTTTAGCCCCGCCCACAATTCCACATCACTGTAGAGCCCTGCACGGGCCTCAAATTTAGGCTCTAGCCCGGCCCGTGTCCTATAAGCTTATCAGAATTACCGGCCCGAATCCGACCCGAGCGCGTCTTTTTTCCCCTTCTCCCAAAACAGCTTATACTACCGTTTCAGCTATTAAAATAGTTCAGTTTTGTATGTAATAGCAAAGTGATTATATTTCGTTTAGTTTTTTTATGAAGTTAATTTAAAAAAACGTTTGGAGCATTTTTGTTCGTTAAATATAAGTTTTTGTTTTTTTAAAGTAACGACCAAGCGGCCAGCGGCAGACAGTGAGCCTATGTTTAATCAATTTAGCCTTCTCAAATCATCACGACTTGCCTAAAATAAAATCTATAGATATAAAACAGTTCAAGCATATCACAATGTTTAAACGTTAAACCTAGATAAATGTGCGCTATATCCAGTAGTTTGTGCGGAGATGCTCTGCAGGACATGGAGGTGCCGGCGCGATCACTTGCGGTTTTTTCAGTGGATACGGCATAATTTTTGCTCATAAAGGTAAGAGTAATACATCATTCGTAACTGTAAAGGGTCTACTTTTATTTGTGTGCACTCACAATATCAACAAAACGTTGTGCTTTTATGAAATAAAGAAATCAAACATGATGCGCTTTCTGCTGTCTCGGTCTCAGCGAATACATGCCTCACAGACATGATAAATATATCTATAGAAAGCTTTAAATTACTACTTAACGAAATAAAACAAATAAAAACAACTTTTTCATTATAATCATAATCCGTAAAGAGGCACTTCTCTCTAAAGGTGCGTCTGAGGAGATGGCGAGTCAGGATCGGCAACTTCATCCTTGCAACACCGACTCAGAAAACACTAGTTTATTAGTAAATAATTCAAATATCTCCTTACTGTTTCCCCCTGACACATTCATGGTAATTACTTTTGCCGGTGCTTTGCGGCAAGCTTAAGCCTATTGCTTGCATTTGAACGCAGAACTGTTCGGCTGCGCTGACGGCACGCACCACACATACTGCTGCTGCTGGACACTAAACACCGTCCAGCCGCTCTTGACAGTCGCGGTAGCTCGGTCTCGTGTCGTTTCCACCAGCACGGCAATTTTTTTCATCACTAGCCTAATTGATGGATGTCTAAAATGTAAGAATAAGGAGAAGCCTAGAACAGGCCCGATGCCCGGCCCGCGTATGAACTATGACGTGAAAATTGGGCGTAAAAAAGTGCTGAAATGCAGGGCTCTACATCGCTGCTTGTTTAGCTCCGCCCAACGATTCTACATCGCTGCTTGTTTAGCTCCGCCCAACGATTCTACATCGCTGCTTGTTTAGCTCCGCCCAACGATTCTACATCGCTGCTTGTTTAGCTCCGCCCAACGATTCTACATCGCTGGTTGTTTAGCTCCGCCCAACGATTCTACATCGCTGGTTGTTTAGCTCCGCCCAACGATTCTACATCGCTGGTTGTTTAGCTCCGCCCAACGATTCTACATCGCTGCTTGTTTAGCCCCGCCCACAATTCTATGATTCAAGAGTTAATCTATAGAAAGCTTTAAATTACTACTTAACGAAATAAAACAAATAAAAACAACTTTTTCATTATAATCATAATCCGTAAAGAGGCACTTCTCTCTAAAGGTGCGTCTGAGGAGATGGCGAGTCAGGATCGGCAACTTCATCCTTGCAACACCGACTCAGAAAACACTAGTTTATTAGTAAATAATTCAAATATCTCCTTACTGTTTCCCCCTGACACATTCATGGTAATTACTTTTGCCGGTGCTTTGCGGCAAGCTTTAGCCTATTGCATGCATTTGAATGCAGATCTCTTCAGCTGCGCTGATGGCACGCACCACACATACTGCTGCTGCTGGACACTAAACACCGTCCAGCCGCTCTTGACAGTCGCGGTAGCTCGGTCTCGTGTCGTTTCCACCAGCACGGCAATTTTTTTCATCACTAGCCTAATTGATGGATGTCTAAAATGTAAGAATAAGGAGAAGCCTAGAACAGGCCCGATGCCCGGCCCGCGTATGAACTATGACGTGAAAATTGGGCGTAAAAAAGTGCTGAAATGCAGGGCTCTACATCGCTGCTTGTTTAGCTCCGCCCAACGATTCTACATCGCTGGTTGTTTAGCTCCGCCCAACGATTCTACATCGCTGCTTGTTTAGCCCCACCCACAATTCTATGCTTCAAGAGTTAAAGATGATCTAAAGACAATAAGATGATATGTATTGAGATATTTGTGTGTTTTTGACCAAAATCACAGCAGCGCCCATCTGAGAGGAATGTACGCGGTCAAACACACACAACTGTCAGCCAATCACAGCAGTGTTTACTTCCGAGTCTACAATCCTCCTCGTCTATTCAAACAGAGCGTTCTGATGAGGGGTCAAAACAGCACAGAAAATAGCCTATTACTTCTAAATGATGATGTTTTTGATGTAAAAATCTTTATTACATCAGAGAGCAGTACAAAATAAAAACAGAGGCAATTCATAACCCCTTTAAAAGAAGAAGACATGATAATATTAGACCGTAAGCAGTGTGGTTTGGTCGTGACCTCGTCATGGTGTCTCTGGTTCAGGGTTGGCTGGTGGACCTCATCAATAAGTTCGGGACGTTGAGCGGGTTCCAGATTCTTCACGATCGCTTCACGAGTGGCCAGGCTCTCAACGTGCAGATCATCGCAGCTCTCATCAAGTACGTCCATCTGCAGTCCAAGCCTGTTACGCTTCTGCGTTGGAGCTGTGAGCTCTCCAGAGTCTCATCGTTTCTCCATTATTTTCCAGACCTTTCGGCCAGTGCTACGAGTTCTTGACTTTGCACACAGTGAAGAAGTTTTTCTTGCCCGTAATTGAGATGGTCCCACAGTTTCTGGAGAACCTCACAGACGAGGAGCTGAAGAAGGAGGCCAAGAACGAGGCCAAGAATGATGCTCTGTCCATGATCATAAAGTCCTTGAAGAACCTGGCGTCCAGAGTTCCGGGTCAAGAGGAAACCGTCAAGAACCTGGAAATCTTCAGGTTAAAAATGATCCTTCAGTAAGCCGTGGTTTCTGGTTCACTCTCTGGTTTATAAGCTTGTGATGCTGATCTGACGTCGTGACTAGTCTTATCTGCTCTCATCTGCTTTATAGGTTGTTGCAGATTTCCTCATTTAATGGGAAAATGAATGCACTGAATGAAGTGAACAAGGTGATCTCGAGCGTGTCGTATTACACGCACCGGCACGGAAACCCAGAGGAGGAGGAGTGGCTGACCGCAGAGCGAATGGCTGTAAGAAAACTATCAATACACAATCAGTCCATCACCACACTCTCACATTAAATATGACATGCAAACGCACCATGAAGTCCCTGATGTGCAGCTCATAGAGAAAGAGAAACGCAGCTGTCATATGCACCAGTAGATTTAATCTGTTTTGTGCTGAAAATCCACCTAATTTGCTATTTCTGGTCATAAATGACCAGCCTTTTAAAAAAAGATTGCATGTAAATCTCTCATTATGCTATGTTATCACTCAATATTGGATTTAATCTTTTTGCCAACACTTTTTTTTTTCAATCTGCACAGGTTTTGTTTTTTTCTGGAGCTGATTGATCGTAGGCCTCACAAAGTGGAAAAAGCATTTGGCAATATTTACTCAAAAACCTGAGGTTTAAGCTCAGATCAGTGAGGCCTACGGTCAATCAGCTCCAGAAAGAAACACAAAACCTGTGCTGAGTGAAAGAAAACACATTGATAAAAAGAATGAATCCAAGATTTGGTGATTTATATAGAATAATCAGAGATTTAGAAGCACATTTTTGTAGTTCAGTCACCAGGAGCACCACATGTGTAACAAGAAAATATACAAAAAATGTGTTTACAAAAACTATCCAGTATTTTTATACTCTGTGTGAACAAAGTAAGTTTTAGCCCAACATGATAACATTAACTAGAATATTTGTGAAAAATAAAATCCTCTCCAGGTCTTGACTAACACAACACAAGGGGTAACTGAAGAGGACATCTGAGCAGTCCTGTGTGTGTGTGTGTGTGTGTGTGTGTGTGTGTGTGTGTGAGAGAGTGTGTGTGTGTTCGAGCGTGTGTGTGTGTGTGTGTGAGAGAGTGTGTGTGTGTTCGAGCGTGTGTGTGTGTGTGTGTGAGAGAGTGTGTGTGTGTTCGAGCGTGTGTGTGTGTGTGTGTGAGAGAGTGTGTGTGTGTTCGAGCGTGTGTGTGTGTGTGTGTGAGAGAGTGTGTGTGTGTTCGAGCGTGTGTGTGTGTGTGTGTGAGAGAGTGTGTGTGTGTTCGAGCGTGTGTGTGTGTGTGTGTGCGTGTGTGTGTGTGTGCGTGTGTGTTAGACACTTCCTGTACTCAGTCATGCGCTGCTGCAGGAAGTGCTCATGATGTTGTTTGTGTTCAGGAATGGATTCAGCAGAACAACATTCTGTCCATCGTGCTGAGAGACAGTCTGCATCAGCCGCAGTACGTGGAGAAGCTGGAGAAGATCCTGCGCTTCGTCATTAAGGAGAAAGCTCTGACCCTGCAGGACCTGGACAACATCTGGGCGGCTCAGGTTCATCACTGCAGCCACACGACTAGCCTAACTAGTTACGGTTATACCAGTTAACCGGCCCATGATCCCAGTGACATCAGTCTGAATGAAGCCAGCCGTTCAGTAATAAAGTAGACTTTTCTCTCATTGATGTGTACTCCCTCACACAGATGGTAATGCAGTTGCTAGCTGGCTGAACTGTTGTTACTGCTGGGAAAACTTTTCCTGGTGACAACATTTTTCCTCATGATTCCCTGACGGAAAAGTGTCTTAGTGTCAGACCAGAAAGGAATCAGAAAACCAGTTTTTCTGTGTTTCAGGAATGGACTCCAGCGCAAGTCACCTTTATTTCTATAGCGCTTTATAGTCAAAGCAGCTCTATAGTGTTAAACAGGAAAATAGTGTTTCAATAATGCAAACAGAATTCATTTCTGCTGTAAAGCAGCTCTAAAAACAGTCAGTTTCAGTTAAAGTCAGTTTATTGTTGATTCAGTTCAGTTTAATAACTTTGTAAATTGTTTAATTAATCTATAAAGCAGCTCTGGAGAAAACCGTGATGCCATCATCAGCTCAGTTCAGTTCCAATACTGTCTTTGATATCAAGTCGATTATATTGCCAAATATTAAGTGTCCAGAAAGAAGCACATGCGTAAAGTTTTAATTTGGATTGCTTTCAGTCTGAAGTCTGTTGTAGACTAGGTAAGGTTTATCATTACTGTCATGTTTTCTCAGGCTGGTAAACACGAAGCGATCGTCAAGAACGTCCACGATCTGTTGGCCAAGCTAGCGTGGGATTTTTCCCCGGAGCAGCTCGATCACCTGTTCGACTGCTTCAAGGTGAGCAGCCGCCGTCTCACTCATCATGTAATACAGGGTGCTTTTGTTGTGAGGATGCTGTGATAAATCAGTGTGTTCTGATGCAGGCCAGTTGGACGAACGCTGGTAAGAAGCAGCGGGAGAAGCTTCTGGAGTTGATCCGCAGGCTGGCGGAGGACGATAAGGACGGAGTGATGGCTCACAAAGTGCTCAACCTGCTGTGGAACCTGGCACACAGTGATGACGTCCCCGTCGACATCATGGACCAGGCTTTGAGCGCCCACATCAAGATCCTGGACTACAGCTGCTCGCAGGTCTGACCTTGAGTTTACATGCAACATCTCTTCCCATCATGCACCTGTATGCCGCCACTCACCGTTCGGTTTCCTTTCACCATCTCACAGGACCGCGACACGCAGAAGATGCAGTGGATCGACCGCTTCATCGAGGAGCTCCGGACGAATGATAAGTGGGTGATTCCAGCTCTGAAGCAGATCAGGGAGATCTGCAGCTTGTTTGGAGAAGCTCCTCAGAACCTCAGGTGAGTCGTGGAGCAGGTGTCTTCATGAGGTTGTCCCGTCTGTCGGCGGTGTGTGATTATCGTTCATCTCTCGAGCAGTCAGACGCAGAGGAGTCCGCACGTCTTCTACCGTCACGATCTGATCAACCAGCTCCAGCACAATCACGCGCTCGTCACGCTGGTGGCCGAGAACCTGTCTGCGTACATGGACAACATGAGGCAGTTCTCCAGAGGTGTGTGTCAGCTAGCAGCAGATGCAGTGTTTTGCTTCTAGTTTTGCAGTAAATGAAAGCCAACTTTCACTGTAATTCTTCGGCTCAGAGCATACAGGGTTTGATCCTCAGACGGTTCGAGCGGGAAGCCGGTACAGCCACGTACAGGAAGTGCAAGAGAGACTCAATTTCCTGAGGTCAGTGATGTCTGACACACGTACACGTATACACTCTCTCTCTCTCTCTCTCTCTCTCCTCACTCTTACTCTCTCACACACACACACACACACACTCACACTCACACTCACTCACTCTTTCTCTTTCTCTCTCTCTTTTTC